GAAGATAAGAAAACAACACGAAACACATCTGTGCAACTTTGCGCCACCGGGAAAAAAAAGTCAAACTGAAACTTCTTGCAGTTCGCATCCCTACTTTGACCTGTGACCGCGGTGAACTCAGATCCTTCCGGCCCTCCCTCCCGCTTGAAGCCCAAAATTAAAATTATTAACAACACTTTCATATAAACTGCAAGGAAGCTCACCTCTTCTGCCGTCATGTACAGCGCCTGAAAGCGCTCGAGTTCTTGGCTGACCTGCTGCATGAGCACCTTGTCCTCGCTGTCGCCCTCGCCCACGTCTTCAGTATCGCCGCGGACCCTGTTTCGTGCCAGGGAAGCAAACCTAGGCCTGGCTTTCGTGGCCGGCGTGGAGAGGCGCTTCAGCGGTGGTTGGCCGCCCTCTGCGGTCGCACGTGCCGAGTGTTTCTTCCGCGCAGCCTCCGACGCCCTCGCTTTGATGTCCGCCCAGCAATCGTTCAGTTTCTGGTCCACCTCGGTGTCGATGGTAGGGGCCAAGTGGGCTTTGCGTTGGTCAAGGTGCTGCGAGTCTGCAGCCGTCAAAGCATGCGCTTGGAGAAAGTTGGTGTCTTTGTACGACGGGGTGAGCAGCACGGAGGCGTTGCGGAAGGGAGAAGGGTCGGCGCTGTCCTGGTCCCAAACCCTTCGGTACAACTTCTCCACGAGGGTTTTGGTGAGCAACTCCCGGGTCTTGGTGGCGACGGGACGCAAGGCAGCCGGTTCCACCATCTTGTGCGGCAGCGACTTCTTTTTCTTCGGGACCTCCTCGTCCGCCTGCTCTGCTTCCGGGGAAACGGGCGTCGCCGGGATGTCGAACACCTTCAGCGGCTCGTCGGGGTCGAGCAACTCCTTCTTGAGTTCGGCGAACGCCATGTGCATCTCTGCCGTCATCGGGACGGCGCCGTACTGCCCGTCCCTAGTTATGACGGCAAGAGGCTGGAGCAGCGAGAAGAGCTGTAGGATGTCGTCTTTGTTGTTGTCCTTGTCCAGGGAAACTCCTCGCCATCATTGGCGTAGACCTTCCTCAAGACATGCCACAGGCGGATGATGCGCTCTATCACACGGACGAGGCTCAGCCATCGCTGGGGCGCGTGCCTCGAGATCTTCAAGGTCTCGCCCAGCATCTCCATCTGGGCCTCGTCGAACTTCTGCTTGAAGATGGGCGACTGGTTCACCTTGGCGGCGGCCTTGATGATGAGCGAGACCACCTGGCGCGCATCCTTGTTCTTCGATTTCTGGGGGTCGGCCGAGGTGCCGAAGGCGGCCTCGGCAGCCCTGTCCGCCAGGTGGCAGACACACCAGTCCCAGTAGACGTTGTGCTGTGCCAGGAGGAAGTTGGTGCACATCGCCTTGATGTCAGAACCAGAGTCCGTCGTTCCACCGGCAAGGTCCGAGAGCTTGATGCCGAACTCCGCCAGCAGCGATCTGAAGACGGTGAAGAGGACTCCGCTGGCCTTCTCGCTCGCCTGAACGGCAGCCGAAGGGGCGTAGTGCTTCACCTACACAACATGTGCGGGGGGGGGGGGNGACTTCTTCAAAGATTCAGCTCGGGCACAGGTGCACCTGCCCATACGTGAAGGGGGGCTTGGAATTACGAGCAGTGTTCTCATTCGAGAATCGGCTTTTGTGGCAGGGCAAGCATTAGTGTTCTCCAAGTCAGTGCAGGCATCAACAGGACTCACCATTGAACAATGCCTACCGCAACTTGCACAGCTACCAACAGGATTAGCTCTGATTGACTCCCTCAAGAAACTAAAAGAGATTTTCACCAAAGACAAGCTCGAAAGAGCTGTTGGTCAGTCATGGACTAAACTTGTTACATCTGACGATTTAACTCCCACTCTTCGAGGGGTTTATCTCATGGAGGCCGGGAAGGCAGTAGTAGCCGAGAGACAAAATGGAGACGACAACCCTGACGAGGAACCACCATCTCCGTCGACATGCGGGCGAAATGAATTTGGCCGGTACTATCAAGTCTTCGGAGCTCAAGCCGTCCTGTCGAAGCCCCTTCATGCAGCAGTCCGCCATATGGTAGTAACAGGCTTGAAAAAAGCAGGATCCCAGGAAACCTCAAAGAAGGGAGCCTTGATTCGCTTGGAGGAAGCAAAAGACAAGGGGGTTCTATCATGGCTGACAACGCAGGGGCTTTCGATGGATGAACGGATGCTACCTGACCTTTATCGAGAATCGATCGGTCGTGTACTGGGGAGTCACGACCGAACTGACTACGATACAGGCAGACTTTGCAGCGCAGGTGCATTGTCACCGTGTATGGAACGGTTGAGCCGACCCCATTCCCTGGTCTGCGCGAAGACCGGCGCCTCAACCTTCCTGCACAATAGGATGGTTCGCGTGCTGTTAAAGACATTACGCGAATGCCACATGCCAATCGCTGTTGAAGACTCTTCCCCATTTACTACAGGCACTGGTAGGGGAAGAGGGCTCTACAAGATGGATTTAGTCATCCCCCCAGGATTACACGCAGGATCCTGGAGATAAAGAAGAGGAACTCTGTCTGCACCAAATCCATCCTTATAGATGTCACAGTCGTCAATCCATCTGCTAGGCGAAGTATCGACAAGTCACTCCAAACGCCAGGATCCGCCCTCGAAGATCGAGCTGCAAGTAAGGCAAAACACTATGCGGGAACTTTCAACCCGTCTAGATCTACCCTCCTTACTGCTGCTTTTTCGACGTATGGTGGTCTTGGCAAAGGCACCAATCGACTTATCGTAGCTATCGCCAACCACTTGGCATACGAAGCCTTTGAAAGAGAATTTCGCCGACGAAACAGCCTTGATTCGCCTGAAGGCTTTTCATACGAATAGGATTCGGAGACGATTTACTTTCGAGCTGGCTCGTTTCCTGTCCGTACGAACTCGTGATGTTTTTAAACGTCATGGACTGCTCATGGATCAATTTCCACCCCGGCCAATAGGTTGGGATTAAAGACAGAGACCAAGACAGCAGTCGAGAAGGGAATCATGGCGTGGAAGAGAGCAAGAGCTTCGAGCCAGAGGACCTCCCGCACAACAAAAGACGGAGAGACAGACAAGAAGAAGAGCTGCCAAAAAGTTGCTGCCAAAATGACGATGAGAATAGTGACGGTAGTAGTGGTGAAAGCAAGAAGAATGATAGTCTAGAGAGAGCACTCCTAAACGAAGTCGAGTGCAGGGTGGCAGTCTTAGTAGACACGTGCAGTTTTCTTCTGTTATTACTACGGTATCTGTCTTTAATCCTGAGAATAGCGTAGCTCCCCCTACGACGCTCGGTCCCGGGGTCCCAGATGATAGTGGACTATAGAAACATTTTGTGTTTCCCGCCGCACTGAGACTGACGTCTTTTCATTGGTCAGCCGGTTAGCGCGGTCGATGCTAATAATAAAAGCACATACACACACACGCCTCATGGGGTAGCGCGACATAATCTGGCGAACCCATAGCAGCAGTGAGAGATTCACCCCCAGACAGACAACGCCGAGGGAACACGACATGCGTGCGGTCCTGCGAGACGACAAATGTCAACGCTCGCGAGTACTGCCAGAACGTCGAACCCTACACGCGTGACTTACACACTCGCCTGAGAACTGCCTGTTTGTGCCGGCTGTCGTTTTTTGCCGGCCGGAGAGACAACGGCATGTGGTGTGCACAAGACAAACACGCACACAGCCGTGAGTGGGGGGGGATCAAGTTCTGGCTCTAGCAAGAGTTCGATGGTCAAAATGGTGTGGACTTGATGGTGACGGGTCGGACACGCACACAGCAAGACTTGAAGGCATGTCCCGGGGCAACCACGGATAGATCGGTCATGGTAGGCGGATGTTGCGTGCTGACTTGTGGGGAGCTCGTCGAGAATTGTGAGCACTAGCAAGCCGGTCGCAATAAAAAATACGGCGGAGACACGCGATAGGACAGACACGTGGTAAGCGACGTCAAGCACAATCAGCGCAACGACCCTAGTAGTTTTGGGGCCGAACGAAAAATATCAAGAACGTCGCGCTTGCGTGCCCGCGTCTCGTTTGAGATGACTTGCGGTCTTTTTTGTGTTTTCATCAACCATCATCCATTGCTGTTGATGCGCGTGACACAACCCACGCGTTTGGTCTACTAAAAAAAACAAGCGTCTAAGTCAGATAGCCCCCTAGTTACACATCTTCCGTCTTGTACTTGGCACGAGGAACGCCGGTACGCAGCGCAGCAGCAAAACAGCGACAAACTCGGGGTTCACAAAATCTCAACAACAAATCAACACAAAGCCAAGGGCCAACTCTACTGCATCGGCAGGGTCGACGTTTCTCAAGTCATACGGATTGTCCCTCTCTCTCTCTAGCCCCCCCCCCCCCCCCCCCCCCCCCCCCCCCCCCCCCCCCCNCGTTTCTCAAGTCATACGGATTGTCCCTCTCTCTCTCTAGCCCCCCCCCCGGCCCCCCCTCCCCGGCGCCTCCAGGGGCCACAAACCTAAATCTTTTATACAAGAGTGAGAATGTCACGAGACGTGTTGTCGGAGCATTTTCTCGATCGATCGGCCATCATGTCTCACTTCGGGAAGTTACGGTCAACGTGCACCACGTCAAACCTGAGAGAGTGGCACAGCCACAACCGTGACATGCCACATATCTTGGCACGCCAAATCTCACCCTACGTACAGTAGCGGCACGCGCGCACGCACATGCATCACGCTTTGGGTGCCACATGCAAGACAAAAGAATATATCACTGAAGCCGAAGAAACATTACGAGTGGATGGTTCGACCTCCCCCTCCTACCCCACGACAAGCACACCCGAACAAACGATGTTGAAAATAACCAAGAACAGACTGAAGTGCGTGCCGTCTTCCATGGTCTCAAAAGACGAAAGGCGGGCACCAAATCACCCCCCCCTCCCCGATTTTTAAAGGGCTTTACGTTTCCCCTTCCCCTCTCCATCCTGCAAACAGCGTTCCCCCCCCCAGGTCATGTAGACATTGTCCCGCGGCTGAATTCCTCAACGAGCGGGGTAACCAGCGCCTCCAACGGGTCCATTTCTTTCCTCGCCAGCAGGTCGAACTCTAGCGCGAAGAAAATGAAGTGCTGTTTCGGTTTGGAGGGTAAGGAGGTCGGGAAAACGGAATTGGCGGACGAGAAAGTACGGACAGAGAGAGGTAGAGAGAGAGAGAGAGACGAGAGAGAGACAGAACAACGGTGAACCGGATCAGAGACGAAGAAAAGAGCCAAAGAGACATGCTACGGTGTACTCGTACGCTTCGCGCGCACGCGCACCACCCGAACGGCCTTCGCAGGAGAGCATTTACAGACTCGGAGATCACTTCCGAGAAGTCTTTCTCGAACGAACGCTGCAATGTGCAGTCGGATTTCTACTTCTGCCATCAACTCTGGGAGGGGGCGAGTGGGATACGAGATGAGCCACACAGAGGAAAGAATGGCGCAATGTTTGCAGCAAAGCAATCATTTTGTGTCTCTTGGTGAAAAGAAACGAGCGGGTTGAGTCGCGCCAGAGAGATCAATCACAGCCCATTCCAAAATTCCAAGCTGCATCACGCATATATTGTACACACCGGGGCAAGAGGTGCTCAATACAAGCACCCCACTACATACACTGATGCATTCCCGCCGTATGAAACACTCGCAATTGCTGTCGTTCCCATGCCACGTCGACCGAGAGTGTTGTAGCGATCCTCTTTTCTCACGATAGATTTCGCCGACTCGGTTCACGGTTGAATTGACTAGCGTTTGTCGCGGTGGCCACGTGACAGCGGGAAAACTTCCGGCCTAAGCCATCCGGGTTTGCGCCATCGGTGCAAAAGTGCTATTATAGACCCGCGCACACTCGACAGCTTCGTCCCGCCACACATTAGACCAATTATCATCGACCAGCCGGTACGCGGGGTCCACGCTAACTGTAAACTAGAAGTAACACCCCCCACCCTGCCCTGTACACCCGGGCATGTTGAGTGACGTCGCGTCGTCCCCTACCTTGAAGGAAGTGTTGAGATGCGCCGCCGCCCCAAGCTGCTCGATGTTGTCGAAATGGCTGCAGTAGATAATGGCGAACACTCGGAACAGGCGTTTGAAGATCGTCATCGCCGTTTTCTTGAAGTCTTTCGGGTATGTCGCGTCTGATGCGGAACAGCAAACGCCCCGAACGGCAACAACAAAAGAGAAAAAAGACCCGAAATGGTCACCAGGAAATTGATTGGTCAACGCTATTGAGTACACCACAACCTACAGATGAAATAACACATGTTTGCGTTGCTGTACGTGCACGAGAATAGTGGTGCGCGGGAAGGGGTTTGAGGGACAATCATGAAATTCGAAACCGAAACGTGTGCACATTATGTGATATGACCTAAAACGCGAGCTGGTCCCTGTCGACTCGACCGGCTGGTGAGCAGTGATGCCACTGACATCTTCCTTTTTCTTTCTACGCACGCTGTCGTACGCAGAGACCTAACAACTGCCGCTACATACAGGGGCTACGGGAGAGGGACCTCTCCCTAGCGGGAGAGACGAGACTATTTTCAGTGTTTCGGCGAGCGTTTTTTTCCAGCTTGGGCAATCAACCACCAAACGGGGGGCTCGAGGTGTCGGTGTATTGTACTGCAGCAAACGTTCCAATGACAACATGGCGTGTTATATAAGGTTCTCTCTTTCTTTCTTACCGGGAGTAGTTGGGAAGATATCCTCCTTGTTGATTTGGTCCTCGACCCACGTCATCACGTGGTCCACGTACTGCGGGGCGGAACATTTCTGCGGAGCCCTTGCGAAACAAAACGAAGGCAAAGTGAACGACGGTAGGACTGAGCATAGGTCGGTAGCCTTCGCGGGGGGGG